GAGAGAATGAGAGACAGAGAGCATGAGAGGGAGGAGGGTCAGAGGGAGAAGCAGACTCTCCACTGAGCAGGGAGCCCGATGCGGGACTCGATCCCGGGACTCCAGGATCATGACCTAAGCCGAAGGCAGTCGCTTAACTGACTGAGCCACCCAGGCACCCTGCATTACATATTTTAACCTGTTTAATCCTTTAATACCCTCTGAGGCAATTCCCAGTTTGCAGATAAGAAAACAGGTTTGGAAAAATTAAGTAACTTGCCCTGCAATATACAGTTTGCAGGTGGTGAATCCAGGCAGTCTATGCTCCCATTCACTGCCTAACAAAAACACTGCATGAAATAGAGTAAAATGTTGGGGTAGGTAGTGATACATGGATGCACACTGTAAAATTACTTCAGCTTTTCTGTATGTTTGAATATTTTCATAATAAAATGTTAGAAAATATAGCTAAGAATAAACAAGAATTATGTGGGACATTATAAATAAAACTACAAAAGTTACTGATTTAAATAGAATAGTGACAAGCACCACATTCATGGATTGAAATAGAGCATTCTACATGTCACTTTTCCTCCACTTTAATGCTCCTCCACTAAATCTCAACTTTTCTTTTTACTCAATTAAATGACTCTAAAGTTAACTTGGAATGGTAGGTATTCTAGAATGGCCAATAAAATTGTGCAACAATAATAAAGTCAGACTTGCCCTACCAAGATGATATAAGATATTATATTATAGAGGGACAATAATCAAGATAAAACTAGTGCCAAAATACACTCATAAATTAGTGAAATGATTTTGGAAGCCCAAAACAGACTTGATAATTTATTTAAATTTAATATATTATAAAAGTGACATTTCATGGACTCCTGGGTGGCTCAGTTGGTAAAGGGTCTGCCTTCAGCTCAGGTCATGATCCCAGGGTCCTGGGATGAGCCCTGTGCCAGGCTCCTTGCTTAGTGGGGAATCTGCTTTTCCCTCTCCCTCTGCCTCTCCCCCTGCTTGTGCTCTCTCTCACACACCATCTCTCTCTAATAAATGAAAAATAAAATCTTAAAAAAAAGTGACATTTCAAATTGGTGGGGTAATGATGGATTGTTCAGTAAAAGGCATTAGGTCATTAGTTAGCCATTTGGGGGAATTGTATTAGTCTGCTTGGGCTGCTACAACAAAATACTATAGACGGATGACTTAAACAGCAGAAAAAAATTTTAAAAGATTATATTCATTTATTTGTCAGAGAGAGGGAGCACAAACAGGGGGACAGCAGGCAGAGGGAGAAACAGGCTCCCCGCTGAGCAAAGAGCCCGATGCAGGACTCCATCCCAGAACTCTGGGATCATGACCTGAGCCGAAGGCAGATGCTTAACCGACTGAGCCACCCAGGCATTCCTAAACAGCAGAAATTTGTTCTCTCACAGTTTTGGAGGTTGGGAAGTCCAAAGTCAAGGTGCTGGCAACGTAGGTTGCAATCTGAGCCCTCTTCTCTTGCTTTGTAGGTGGGTGCCTTCTCACTGTGTGCTCACATGACCTCTTTTTGTGTATGGGAAGAGAGAAGGAGCTCTTTGGTATTTCTTCTAATAAAGACACTAATCCTATCCTTATGACCTCATTTAACCTTAAATACTTCCATAAAGGCCCTATCTCCAAATACAGTCACTTTGGGGTTTCAACATGAATTTGAATTTGGCTGGGACACCAAACACTGTCTATAACAGGAACAAATCAAATGGGGTTTCTACTACACATGTTACATATCATGTGATTTCGGGAAAGTTAAGCTTTGCTTTAAAACAAAAGCAAAGCTATTGAAATATTCAAAGAAAGGTGACTTTATACATAGTTTTGTGAGTAAGCCTCTTTTATTTGCAAGTAACAAGTTCACCAGAATTGCTTTCTAAGTTAAAAGGATGATGGTTGTGGTGGTGGTGGAGGTGATAATAATTGGAAGGATTCTGGAGTGTCTTTGGAAATCCAAGGAAGAAGTGATTAGCCCAGTCTGTGGAAGGTTAGAGACCAGTGTATCTGGTTGGTGCCCAAGGGATGCCCTCTACACTCTACACCACCACCCTTAATATGGTTCAGTTTTTAGTAACTCCAAGTGTCTGATGCTCAATTCAAAATTCTAGATCTTGGCAATATCATTTAATTAGTGAGCTGTGACCAGGTGGGCAAGCAGTGTCCTAGTAGACCTGGTTTCTGGGCACTCACCCCCATGAGTAGGGGGCAGTTCTCAACAAAGGAGAAGTGTTCCAGACTGAGAAAAAATATGTATGTTCCTTGAATCATTTAATGACACAAGAAACTTTAATGCTAAAACATGATTTTTTAAGTACAAAAAAGAACAAATAAATAAATTTATGACTATTCAAATATCCTAAATAAAATATTAGCAAATAGAATCAACAATGCATTAAAGACATAATATATATGACCAAGCAAGGTCAAGAGCAAAACCATATGATCATGTCAATAGTCAATGAAAAAGGCATTAATAAACTTTAGCAGTCATCACTAATATACCTTTATTTGTTTAACAAGTAGTTATAGAGCACTTACTCTTTGTCAACTATTGTTCTAATTAATATACTGAAAACTCAAGGTAAAATAAGAATAGAAGGAAACTACTTGAATATAAAAAAAGACTATTTACAAAAGACCATAGCAAATAGTATTCTAAAATGATACAACACTAAAACCATTTTGATTAAAATCAGAAAATTGCCAGCACATTATTTTTTAACATTGTCTTGGAGGATTATCAAATACAATAATATAAGGAAGCTAGCAAAAATATTGGAAAAGAACAGTTAGAGCTATAAATATCTTTTTGCTGATAATATGATACATGATAGACCATCTAGAAAAACCTAAGTCTTGAATAAAAACTACTAAAATAAATAGGAGACTTTCATGTGAGGGACTTGCCTTGTAAGAAATACACAGAAAACAAATATCTTTCTCGCTCTAGAAATGAGCATCTAGGGGTACCCAGATGGCTCCGTTGGTTAAGCAACGGACTCTTGATTTCGGCTCAGGTCATGATCTCAGGGTCCTGGGATAGAGACCCGCGTTGGGCTCCGTGCTCAGGTAAAGTCTGCTTGTCCCTCCCCTTCTGCTCCTCCCTCCTGCTCATGTTCTCTCTCTCTCAAATAAATAAATAAAATCTTTTTTTTTAAAGAAAGTAATGAGCATCTAGAATGAAATGTAGATGAAAGCAGTGAAAACAAACATTATTAAAAGCCATAAAACAAGATTTGAATAAATGTAAAAAAGTATATTACACTTGAGGGACATTTGCTATCATAACGGTCAAGTAAT